AGCCCCAGCTCCCAAAGGGAATTCAGATGAATTTGCCCCAGATGAGCAAATGAAAGATGAATCTGTTAATCAAGATTGTAGCATCTGTAGGAAACCAGAAAGTAGCTGAGAGGTTGTGAGCATCCATCAGGGACTGCCAGCGTTGCCTGGAGGGGCAAATCTGCAAGTCAGGGAGAGGAAATGTAATATTTTCAAAGATCAGCTCCATAAAAACCCCTCTTTCTGCTTGGTTTCTGTATTGCAGCTTAAAGAAATCCTCCTTTCTCTGCAGCATATGGCAGGAGTATGTAGCACCCAGAGACAGAGGGATGAGAGTGCAGTTGGAAACCCCAAATTGTCACTGACACTTTCCATATCAGAATTGATCTGCCCAAGCTGAAAGCATTTGGAATCTGCAGAAGTCAACAGCTGAGAGTGCGCTAATTTGGGATTGATTGAAACTGCTCTTTTCTTTCGACAGCTGAAAATACAAAGTCCAAATCAAATCAAAGTTCAAGATGATGGGAACCAGTGATGCTTTGGGTGAAATGCTGGTGAAGATCAGCTCACTCCAGGGCTTCAGGAAGCGGTTTTAAATCATTTGTGGGTTTAATTCTTCTGGGAGAACATCTTTGTGTGACCCATCAGTAAAGGGCTGGTACTTACAAACAGGAGGAATCGTTCTTCCTCATAATTTTAGCATTATCCAAGTTCTCCAGAACAGGATTCACCTGGATGATGTGATGCTCAAGGAGATAAAAAGTCAGCAGCAGCGGGATGCTCCACACTGAACGCTTGGGCTTTAAGCACAGCTATTCCTCAGCATCCAAAGCATCCCAATACATACCTTTCCTGACAGGCAGCTCCACACAAAGCTTGTTACATCTGGGAACAGTGATTCCTCCGCAGAGGTCCAGCCTTATGGCTGTGGGGCAGGTGGAAGCCTGGCTGTTCCAAGAAGGAACCCCAAGTGCAAAGTGGAATGTAGTTTTCAGTGCTTAGTACTTCAGTCTTCCAGAAAAGAGGTTTTGGGATGTGCTGGGATTGGGAGACCCACAGGAAAATGCTAGGATCTGCAGGCATTTCTGCTAGGAAAGAGGAGTGAGGTTTATTGCTTGTTGGAAGAGGAAGGTTATTCCAAGGATAGAGGGCAGCATAAGACAGGCTAGAAACCAGGAGAGTAAGGGAGAGCCTCGGGGGGAGAAGTTGTGGAGGAGGAAACAAGCTGGGACATGACACTCCAGAGCTCTGGCAGTGAGGAAGCTGGAAGGAGAAATAGGAAGCTACCGAAGGAATCCCACAAGGCTGGAATAACAGGATTTTTGCTGCGAGGCCAAATGTGGCTGCTATTTATGTCTTTGAGTTCTGAATTGTTCTACTGACCCCCATAGACTCAGAGGGGAGAGGAAAAAGAAAGAGAAAAAGAATAAGGAAAAGGAGAAAGAACAGGAAAAGAGAAAGATGGAGGAAAAGGGGGAGAAGGAGAAGAAGAAAGAGCAAGCAAAGAGAAAGATGGAGGAAAAGGGGGAAAAGGAGAAGGAAAAGGAGGGAGAGAAGGAGAAAGAGAAGGAAAAGGAGGGAGAGAAGGAAAAGGGAAAGATGGAGGAAAAGGGGGAGAAGGAGAAGGAAGAGGAGGGAGAGAAGAAGGAGGGAGAGGAGAAGGAGGAAGAGAAGAGAAACAACTGCAGCCTTAGAAGCTGCAATCCCTCAGTTAGAAGAAGCTGTTAGCGTGGAGGGCTTCTTTCTGTTTGATACCAAGCAAGATACTTCACTGCTGTCATGAGAAGAAGGACCAGGTCTCCCTCCCTGATTATTGATGCTTTTCACAATGTTTTACTCATATAAACCACTTTTTACTACGTTTCGGTGTTGCAGGTGGCAGGAAATGGAGTGCTGGGAAATCCCCCCTGGTTGAGGATCCCTGAGGCTGCTCCTCAGCTCTCTTCTTTCCACAATCTCCAAGCAAACACTGTGATTATTCCTCCCACTGCTATTGATTGCAGTTTCCAGACCACCTGCAAGGCCCCAGAGCTCTGTGTGAGGGCAGATTCCCTGCAGCCACAGATCAATATCACCTTCTGGTTTGTGAATGGGAAGAAGGAAATGCAGGGAATTAATATGAAGACATAGAACTCAAATGTCCTGGTGCTTTGCCTTTTGCTTGTGAGTGATAGGCAGGGAAAAGTGTCTTTGATATAAGCTGGAATTGGAAGATTTAAGTCACACACAATTTAGAGCAGCACAGGCTGGCCCACTGAGTCAGGAGCTGTTCCTGTCCTGCCTTCACCCCATGCAGCTTTGCCATTCCCCTCTGCCCTTTCAAACCATAGATCCTCATGTGGTTGTAGTGCTGACACAGGCTGTCCAGGACACTGGCCTCATTCAGTAAAGTCATGTGATTGCACTTCCTCTGGGGGCAACCTGTTGACCTGTTGGGGTCCTGCTGAACCCATAAAGTAGAGCTTAGCTGGTTGCTTACCATCCTCACCATGACTTTGTTATCCTTTCCAGACTGGGTCTCCCCAGCAAGGAAACCCCCTTTTGTCATCCTTCACCCAGCACAATGTCTTGATGCCATGGGGCTTGTTCATGGCCTCAGTTTTCTCCTTCTCAGGGAGTGCCAGGAACTGCAGGATCCACACACTTCCCTGTAACTGTGAGACATTTTGGCTTCTCTTTTAGGCAGAAAGAAGGAAAGAAGGGGATCGGTGCTTCCCACATTGCTGAGAAAGCAGATTGAGGAAGCCTGGAATTTCCTGTGCTGCTGTCCTGTTCACACCAATGGTACCTTCCAGTTCAATAGGAACCTGCAGCAGGAGGAAGAGGCAAGTCAGCATCCCAAACCTGGGTGGTAGTTCCTCAGAGGAGCCAGAAAGCAAGAGATTAACTGGGGAGAAATAGGAACAATATTTCCATTTTCATTCCAATTTTCTCCATTGTCAAGTGCCTATGGCTGAGAAGAGGCATGGGGGTTGCGGGGGGAGGCTTTCTTCCACCTTTTGTTCCTGAACACTGCCCTAAGGCCCAATTCTGGTGAGAGCAGTGCTTGGATGGGAATTCCAATGGGATTTTGGAAGCACTGAGGGTGTTGGTTGTTTTCTGTGGTTGCCAGAGTACTAAGTCAGAGCAACTACAGAGCTTCTCAGGCAACCCCTGTGCAGAGGCCTCCTATGCAGTATGGGCATAAACCCTCTTAGTGTGAAAGGCTATAGCATTGTGCAGAATAGCACCGATGGAGGCATGGATGTAAAAGGGGCTCGGAGGAACCTGAAAGGGAGGACATGGATCATCAGCTCCTGTCCTCATCCATCAGAACCCACCAGGATCATCCAGGAAAGTCCATGGCACATCAGCTTCATGTGCCCCTGGGTGGTTTTCACCCTTGTCACAAGCTCAGACCATGCCACATACCGCAGGAGGGAGCAGGGGAGTTGAAGGACATGACTCATATCCCAGGGCTTTGTATTTTTGGAGGCTTGTTCCATGTTGGGAGCAGCCAATGTCCCACACGCCAGGCAGCCTCTTCCTTCCCTCACCCACACATCTGAACTAGCTTTCCTGTTGTCAAGGCAACACTCAGACTGCTGATGGTGAGTTGGCTTTGTCAGTGTCCAGCCACCTAAAGACCTGCCTCCTGGGGACCTACAATACCTGCTCAACCCGTTGCTCCCTGCAGAGGCAGAGCTGATTTCATCACTGTGGGTTGCGCAGATTAAAGGGAACAGGGGCTCTGCTGTGGTTTCTTTTGCAGTGTGGACACACTGCCCAGGTCAAGGGCTGCTCTTGGTTCCAGATCTACAGCCCCATGATGACAGCCCCAAGCAATGCTTTGGGCCAACCTTGTGAGTCATAGCTGTCTGCACTGGAGTTAGGCTGGGATAAGTGGGAGAAGCCCTTGGGGGTGCTGGGGACTTCTTCCCAGCAGGGTCTGGAGGCTGCTGCTTGGGCTGAAGTCAGAATAGCTTGGCACTGGTTAGGGACAGTGTTGGCCTCATCCTTCTGGTGTCATTTTCACACCATCCTCCTGCAAACCTTGATGGTCTCAAAGTGACGGGTGCAAGGACTCTGAGGCAGCAGTGCTGCACCTTTGGAAAGGGGTTTTAGGGCTTCAGAAGGTCCTGGTGTGACGCTGTCAATTGCAGACTGCTGCTCTGGCATGAACTTCAACCAGAAACCTTCCTCTGTACATTCCCACTAAGATCAGGCAGAGATATGGAACTATAACAGCTTAACAGTTGTTTCCCCTCTCGATCTATACAGGTAAATCTGTAGAGTTGCTGGTTTTGCATGTCTGGAGTTGCAATGTATATTTAAGACGTGGCTCAGGTCTATGCTTTATCTGACAAATCCCTGAAATACATGGACTAGCATGGTCCCTGGAGCACATCACTGAAATGGTAAACCAAGCACCTACAGAAGATCAATGCAGATCGTTCATCAAACAGGGTTTCTTGGGGGCAGGTCTCAGACCTTTCTGGAACCTCAAATCCTTTATGCATCACCATCCTTCTACAAGGGGAAACTGAGGCACAACAACTTCAGTCTTCAGAGTTGTCCACCCATTGTCAGTCCAGTCTTTGGAAGACAAAACACCTCCAGAAGGTCTGTTTTATTCTGGCCTTTCAGTGTGAAGTCAATAGGAGTGGCTGGTGCTTCTCCAAAGGCAGCCCTTGACTGTGTTGTTTTGGTACCCAGAGACAATACACAAAAGCTTAGGCATAAATGTAGTCCCAAAAGCCATAGGTCAAGGAAGTGGCGAGGCCGTGCCAACAATTCCTGAATTTCATTCCCTCCAAAATCACATGGAATCTAATAAACTTATGGCTAAAATACCCTTGGGTTCAAGTCTGCCTGTTATAAAACACAGTGAGTATAAAGCCAGGCAGGCTTTAGGTACACCTCCAGGCACTGTCCTTGTCTCTTTCTACTTCTGCTTGCAAGTTCTGCCACCTGATCCTTCATGATCACCTATCCACACCTCTTCCCAGTGTCCCACACAGCAAGTACTTACCAGGCTAAACCCATGATCCTGGAAGATGCATGTTTATAAGGGCTGGCCAGGCTCCTTCCTGGCTGTCCAGAGGGCCTGAGCCAGCACTTAATGTTTTAAGAGACACCACATTCCTTATGCGTAAGTTCAGAGGACTCTAGCACTGGGAGCCTGCTTGGGAAAGCTTTGATCCCTCAGGAGATAATTGGGTAATGCTCTGTTTCATGGGGATTTCTCCTTGTCTTTCATTATAGGGTGTTTTATGAACTCAGCTGCTGGAGTATAGGGACAAGAGGCTGAAATAGAAAGACCATTGAATGAAGCCTTCATTCAGAGGCACATCTTTGGCTCTGCCCCTCTTGCCAAGGTGGAGTGATGGATTTCATCAGGGAGAGGAGCTGATCTTTGGCAGACAAACCACAGGCTGAATCCTTGGCAGGAGCAGCCCCGTTGGTGATGGAATGAAGGTTGTATTTGAAAGTAATTCCTAAGCCCTGTGTTTCTGATGGATAAATTCTGTGTCTTAACTGCAAACAGAGACATAAAGGCTGTGGTTGTGTTACAGTCGTGCTTGTTTCAGTTGCTCAACTGCCCTGAAAGACAACTGCTTCTGTATCAGCTTCAAGTATTTCCCTGCTCTATTTGCCTCAGCTGGAGTCTGGGATGTGGTTACCCTGCAGTATTGCCATTGTGGGTGTTTCGGGTGAATACACTCGGAATAGAGCAGGAAGATGCAGATAAAACAGCCACTTTGAGGTGAAAATGAGAGCGTTCACGTTACACCCACCTCTTGAATTTGTACCTGACTGTTCGCATTGAAAAGCTGATTCTAAGAACTCAGCAGGTCCCGTCAGGAGCAGAATAATACCACAGAAACCCTGGCCAGCCTGAGGCTGAGTGAATATTGGGAATTGTGATTAACTTCTGAGGAATGTATCCGGAGCAAGTCATGTTTTCTGGGCATTTGTAGGTAATAATTTCAACCCTTGGATCTGTGAGTGAAGGTTGCCACCAGTTCTCACACAAATAGATGTGAAAGGCATCAGATAAATACTGGCTTCTGACCTGTTCACTCGTGTGTAACGTGCTCAAATGGCTGTGTTGACTGCATAGGAGGAGCGAGCTGCAAAGGGAGCAACCGGATCCCTCTATGAAGTGAGGCAGGTCAAAATGGCAAACCTTAAATAGCTGCAAGCTCGCTCAGCCCCTGGACACATCAGCAATGGGTAGGACTGAGCCAAATTGCTTCCTGATAAGTAGGATGCCTGTTGCTGAGTTTAATGAACTGTCCTTGGCAGTTCCCATAGCCCTGTTCTGTATCACGCCTGGCCACGCTGTTCTCCAGCACATCTCTGCTCTGTAAATGCTGCTGTGACAGCCTGGGTTGTCCCAGGTTCATCCAACCACATCCCATTGCAACCATTATTAAGGAGGTTTTTGAAGGTTCTCTTAGAAAACGAAGGAGCCATTGTGCAGTGATGTGTCCTGGGAGCACTGCACAGCAAGCTCTGCACACAGAGGGTCATGGGGAGGGAGTTGTCTGCTAAGCAGGATGTTTGCCTGACAGTTTCTTGCCCTGACACAGATTTCTTCATCACCTTCAAGTGAGACTGAGTCCAGAGTCCACCCTTGTCACCTGAAGGGATGGGGAGCAAAAGTATGTTTCACATTGGAGAGTGGTATTCAGATAAGGGGTAAACCAGCCCATATAACACAGACAACATGGAAGAAAGGCTTTGGTCTCTCCCTCTTAGTGTGCTGCCAGGGACCCCAGGCTAAACACAGTGTGTCCACAGTGGCATTCCCAGTCACAGAGGAGGTTGTAAGTGGAGGAGGGCAGCACAACCTTTGTGCTGTAGTGACAAGGAACTCGGTTCAGATGCTGCCTTTCAGGGTTGCATTTCAGTAGCAGCAGCAGCAAACTGATCTTTAATGGTTAGGGGAGGACTCGTATCCAGAGCAGAAAACCCTGCTGCAGGATCGCAGGGTTATTTAAAGGCCTGCAAGATGGGTTTGCATTTATTAGTCATTTCAAGAATAATGGTGGTTCTGTGCTGAAAGCTGCATCCTCATTCTCAGCTGTTGTCTGTGCTTGTTTGGGGAGGATCAATGCATCAGAGAGGTTTGGCTGTGCAGAGACACAACCAGTCTCTTAACCAAACAAGGGCTTGTGAGGCTCTGAGGGTCTGACAGGGACAATGTCAAGTACTGTCAGATCCCAGTGGGTGCCCTGTGAGTCACAGGTCCTGCAGGAGACAGTCTGTGCAGTTGTATGATCAAAAACTCCATGGGGAAGTGTACGTGCATGAAAGGCAAGTTCAGATCTGTGTTTCTGGTGCCTTAACTTCTCAGTGCTCTGCTTTTCAGTCGTAGCACTCTTTTAATGCAAGGAATGGTGGAGGCAAAGCAAACAGCCCCAAAACTTCTGAAGGGGCGTTTTTTAAAGGAAAAAGAGAGGAAAAGGATCCCTTGAAACCTCTGGTATGTGGTGTCAGACTGTTGGCAAGGTTGGGAACTTTTAAGCCATGGCACAGACTTTGGCCACTTGAGCTCATGGAGCGACACGGAGCTGTGCTGTCTCTGCGCTAGGTGGACCAGATGGGCAGAGGATGAAGCCAAGTGTCCCACCAGGGTTTGGCTGTGCCTGCCAACAGCAGACGGGTGTTAACAGTCCATAAACAGGTCTCTGCCCAGACCTGGAAGGGAATGAGGAGTAACAGGTAATGGTACCTGTCCGTCCCCTCCTGTCCATCCTGCCTTGCTTCTCCAACCAAATCCTTATGCTTAGCCAGAGACCATCGGGAGCCACAACCTCATCTTTACAGGGATCATCTCCCAGGCCTTGGCAATGGGACTGGGCCAGCCCAAACCCATGAAAAGGCCTTGAATCCCAGCCCCATCCCAGCACCTTCCTTGGATCTGTCCCTTCCAGTACAGCAGAGTTATCTTCAGCTCCTAAGATCAGGTGGAATGTGCACGTTGAATCCTCTTGTTAGCATTTCCTAAGCATGGCTTCCAAACAAAGCCCCCTGAATACATATTCTGAGCAAGAAGAAGCCCATTTCTGTTGGATGCTGTCCTCAGCTATGGTAATCGGATGCTCTGGAGTGAGGTGAGCATCCAGATGCCCTCCCCACCATGGAAATTGCAGCAGGAGGACAGGACATCTCATCTCCGCAGCCGATTAAGCTGTCCATGGACTCCCTGATGCCAGAGTGGCATCAAGAGGCTCCAGACCCCGTGATTTATGTGGCTTTCCTGGTGTTTTCATAGAGTTTCTCTTCCTTAGATGCTTTACAAGCTACTCCACTCCTTTAGAGAGCACCTTCCTCCCACTGCGTGCCATGGAGCAAGATCACACATGATTCATACAGAATCATGTGGCTTTTTCAGTAATTCCAAGGTTTCTCCCTCACTCTGATGTGTCTCATCCCCAAATTCAGTGTAGATTTCTGTGTCCCAGTTCCTCGAGTCACAGATTCAGAGACTAAAATAATACTTTTGCATTAGGAAAAAGAATGAAAAGTTAAGATTTTTGGCCCTGGTGGTGAGAGTTGCTGCAGCTGCATCAATGGGAGTCCCTTCACTGACAGAGGAAATGGCTTTAATAAAGAGCTGTGATTAAGTCTGCTGTTATTTGTAAGTAATTCCAGAAACTGTTCCTCTAATCCCTCCATGGCTTAGAAGTTAAAATTAGCTCCTTAACGTTCAGTGTGGAGTTACAAACCCTGGCTTTCTGGGGCATCCTCTTACACTGCCCGAGGAGCGTCAACAGCTGCATTTGCCAAGTGGGAAAACGCTCCCCAGAACTCCTGCTCCAGCCCGGATGCTCTTCTCCTTCCCAAGGCTCCCTGAGCTCCATGGGAGCTCCCACTGATTCCAGTCCAGCTGATGGGATAGTCGCTTGGAGTTACACTTTGTGGTGTTCCCTGCTTTACAAGCTGTCTTCCTGCAAGGGAATTCCCTGGGAATTAAGGAGAATGGAATTTCTTTCCTTTCTCCTTAATTCCCAGGGAATTTCCAGGCTCCTTATTAATAAATAGAGATCTCTTCTATACAATATCAACATGACTTTTTCTTCTTTTCCTTTTCAGCATCTACATTTGTGAGTGATTGGCTGGAAGAAAGCACTGACGAACACTTTGCGTTGGGAAGCGCCACACAGAAGGACAAGCTTTCTGGTCCATGTAACCTCATGGAAGTATTAGGCATGAACAGTCTATTTGCTCAACCAAATAACTCCAGCAGCAAACTTGCACAAGGATCTTGGGATTGGAGATGTCCCACAGCACAGTAGAGTTGTATTTATCCAACCCACTTCAACAAGCCACATTCCCAGGTTTTCGGGAGCAAATTAAGCTGCCTTTAAAACAGGCTTTCCTCCTCTTGGTGCTACCCCACCATAGAGCCCTGGATCACTCCTGTACTGACCACAGGGATGAGGCACTGGACTGAGGACCAGTTTGCCCTGATCTGCCTTAAGTGCTGGCAATGCACAATGTGATGCTGGGCAGTGCATGATGTGATGCTGCTTCCCTCCCTCATGGACACCTCTCCTCCTTGTCTACCAGCAATAGCAATCCCATGGCTGTTTCAACAGGATTGATGGAAAACCACACTTCTTTATTTCCATGGGTTGCTTTCCCTTCAAATGAGCTGTCTGGACTGATGCAGCCCCATGGCTCCCTGGCTACAGAGGAAATGGGGAAGAAAAGCAGGGGAGCAGGAGAAAAGCAAAGCAGAGGAGGGAGAGAAAAGCAGGAGCACTGTTTTTGAGGCTGCAACACTAAATTAGGAGAAACAACAAGCTGCACCTTGAGCCTTAGAAAATCCAGCTGCGATGCTGAGCTTTGCTTCTGGCTCAGCACTAAGACAGGGCTACCAACAAATCCTTTCTCCCACCTTCTGCATGTCCTGATTAGATAGACTGTGACAGACGGGGGCTGTCACTTATTATGTGCTTGTTCAGTGCCTGGTACAATGCAGCTCTGATCTCAGCTCACACCCGTGCCTGCTGCATGAACAATAGCACTGAAATGAGTCTAATGGCTGGCAGTGGGGAGGTCACCGGCTGCCTGATGTCTGCCTCCCCACCAGGAACCACTGCATCCCAACTGGAAAAGGAGGAATTTCCAGGCTCCATCCCTGCCACACTTGGGAATTGCCCCTCATTAGCTCAGCAGCTAATTCAGAAACCCACATGGATATTTCCTTGGTGTAAGTATAACTAATAAGTGAAATTAATGTGTTGATGTTAATTTAATGGACTGCATTAGAACTGATGGAGCAAATACACTGAGAGCAGACAGGCAGGGGGCTGCTGGGAGGAATCCCTGCCTTTGCCAGCTGAGGTTCTCCTTTCACACAGGGATTGCTGCAACCAGCTACTGATGGAGCCTGGGCTGTCCTTGCCTCATCTAACCCCATCACAGTGATGCCACACATGGGCATCTCCCCTGACCATTGTGCAGCAAGGGTAAACCTATTAAAGAGACATGAAAAAAACAGAGGAGGAAAAAATCAATGCTTTTATCTCAGGGCTTAGAACTGGTGCTTTCAAATCTGCTACCATGCACCAAAGCTGCAGTGCCCCAGTGGGAGTGTGTTGGGACAAAGGGTGCCAGGGTGGGAGAGAGCAGCCACAGAGAAAACCTCTGAGCTGGAACCATGGCTTTTCATACCTGTCACCATGTGGATTTTCAGCTTCAGCACACAAGGCTGAGCTCAGGGGACACTGTCATGTAGATTTAGGGGTTTTATCTCCTTTCCTCTCCATTAACTGTGATACCCTTTTATTATGCTGGTTCTTCTTCCCTCCAGGTTCTTCTCTTTCCCATTCGGCAAATATTGATCTGCCCATGTCCTGAGCACGGGTTGAAATGAGCACATCTCATCCTCTGCCTGCTCCTGGGGCTGAGCACTCGTGGTGCCACCTCTCATGCCATCAGGGACTGAAGCAAAGGCCAAGGATGGGGGTTGCTCATCAACTGACGCCTCTTTAGCTCTCCCTGGCAGTGACAGAGGAGTGAACACGATGGAGATTGTGCTTGGCAGGTAGGGAGGGAATGGAAAGGGCAGAGAGAGAAAGAGCAGCCCAGGATAACAATAAACCTCTCACAGCCCTGTTGCACATTTGTACCCTGCAGCTCCTTGGGCAAGGAGGGAAGCAAATGCCAGGGGCTGCCCCCACTTGTCTTAGGGTGTGATTTTAAGCCACTGTAGTTAAATCACTATGAAAGGTTGCAAGGGTTCATCTATTTCAGCTTGAGACAGGCCTGCTTTCACTTGGTGTTGGGTGATGAGGAATTAGCAGAACCAAACTCAGACGGGGCACAGTAACTTTTGCACCAGATTAAGTTGAATTAAAAAGCAATTGGAATGCCATTTTCCTGTCTTAAAGCAGCCAAGAAAGAAGATCGTGCAACCAATGGCACTTGAAGCTTGAAGATGCAGCATCTGGGAGTAGCACAACTGCCCTTGTAATGCCCACAAAGAACAGATTCAGCCAAAGGTCTTCTCTCAGACTTCTCACCATCAGCTTCTGCATGAAGCTTCACACGACTCATTCCATTTGCCTTAAAGGGTGAACTGGTACGAGCCTGGGATTGGAATCCAGGACTTAAAGCAGCCCTGCTATTGCACAGTGGATTTCCATAGATATTTCCATGCTCTGCACACACGGAGTGGGGTTTACAGGGCTTTGCTAACAAGGGGGGTGGCTTGGAAGGGTTTGCACAACCCAGCTGCCTTCAGCACTTCCGAGTGCCCAAAACTGCCTGCAGTGCTGTAGCCAAGCCCCACTGTGAGGGGTTGTTCTGAGGGCAGGGATGCTGTTGTCCCTGTGGGATGGAGCAGTGGCTTGGGCAGGAGGACAGGCTCTGCAAGCAGCCCCAGGACTGGTTTGTGATTGCTGTTAAATCATAGAATCATGGGATGGTTTTGGTTGGAAGGGACTTTATAGAGATCACCTATTTCCAACCCCCTGCCATTGGGGGTCCTTGTCCTCAGCATCCCGGGACATTGAATGGGTGCATCTCCACAAAGGGTCTGGCCACAGAGGTATAGGAAGGTGAGCAGCGTGGCTCAGTACCACCCATCCTCCTGCAGGTGCATCCAGTTGGGCCTGGTAAGGGAGCAGCTGGAGATAACGGGAGTGTCCTGGGAAGGGAGGGCATGTGGCTCCTTAGGGGCAATAAAAGAGGCAGCTGAGGGTATGATGGGATAGGAGGGTGTTGGGGTAAGTGGTTTTGCTCCCCTTTGGGACTGGCTGTTCCTTTCCATCCTATGATGGGTGCTGGGCTGCTGGTGGGATTTCCTGGCTGTTTGATGCCAGGCCTCTTGTTTGGGTGGTGTCAGCATGGTGTATCTCTCCTGAGATAAAGTGGAGGATGCTCCCCAAAAAGAAGAGGCTGTTTGGGATGTTGCTGTTCTTTATTGGAGGGGAAATAGAGGAACGGAGGGTGAAGCAGAACCTGAGGGCTTAATGCTGTGGGGTGTCATCAGCTTGAGCCAAAGATGGCTCATCCCATCCCCTCTGTGAGCTGGGGGATGGCTGCAGCTTGGTGCCTGGGGGTGCTGGGGTAAAGAGCTGATGCTGCTGGGATCCAGCCTTGCTGCTGGTGCAGGAAATAGGGAAAGAGGACAAAAAAAAACCCACCAAAACCTTAACAAGATGGACTAAGGGGAGCTCTTGGAGGCTGCTCTGAGCCAGAGGTGCAGGGAAGGTGTAGAGGCAGCAGCTGTGTGTGATCAGTCCTTGAGTTTATGCACAGCCTGGCTTTAGGGAGCCCTTGGTGGTGGCTGCTCTGTAAACACCTCCCCTTCTGAAGGGTGCAAGGCTTGCTTTTGCTGATGAAAGCTGTCTGAATGCCTGCTCTGGGCTTTATCTGTGAGTAGCTCTGTGATTCTTACTGGGAGAGGCTTAGGAATTATCTTTACTTGCTCCTATTTAATGTTTTTCACCTTACCAGAAGCTGGGTTTCCAGGAGAGCTCTGCTTGCTTGAACTTGCCCACTTCATGCCACTGCATGTGACCTTGTGTCTTCCCTAGTGGGGGCTCTGGGGTGAGAGAGGAGGCTTGGATATGGCTGCTTGTCCTTAAATCAGACCTTAAGATGTCCTTGGAGGCAAAAGGCCTTTGCCAGGCTTGAGATGTGTGTCTGACAGCCCTGGGGTCAGGACAGGAGGGAGGTGGTGTTACTGTAACCATGGGAAGCGATGGGGAGAGGAGGTTTCCCCATGGACTACAGCAGCTCTGTAATTTTTATAGCCTGGTATTAAGTGCTTGCTTGTGCTTGCATTTAGTTCAGCTCAGCTGCAGTATGTGAGGATCCTGAGCTCAGCTTAGTGCAGGAGAGCCCCAGCATCTCCATTGCTGGTGGGAGGGGATGTGTGCTGCAGGCTGTTGGTGGGAGATGGGAGTCCCAGACCCTGCTGTGGATGGAGGTGGAGGCTGCTGTGCAGTTGTGACCTGACCCTGCTCTGTCCTGAACCCCAGCAGCACAAGAAGGCTTTTGACTGGCTGCTCCAACCTGCCAAGATGTCGCTTTTGATCAAGCACAATGACAGGTTGAGGAAGTTCAAGAACAAAGGCAAGGACCCCACTGTAAGTACCCACCTCCTTTCAGGCAACAGCAGAGCCCACTGGGGGTTTGCCTATAGCCAGGAGGTGATGGAAAGGCTTCTGAGGGGCAGTTGTCCTCAAACCTACCTGCATGTGGTGGCTCTGCATTGGGGATGCTCTGCCAGCTTTGGGATGTGGTGTGGCGCTGGCTGGGCTGCAAGGAGTGTGGGGAACATGAGCTTTGGGTGGGTGACTGGAGCTGGTTCAGCTCCAGCCTGCTGAGCTCTCTGCAGCAGTTATCCCTGTTATCTAGTATGGGATGTCAGACCACAGGATCTGTCAGCTTGCTTTAAGCCATTAGAGGAGATGAGGGTTTGCCTTTCAGGTTCAACAAATCTACTTTCATCCAGCAGCTCTTGTCCTTGGGAGGCACTAAGGGAGAGGTTTCACTCTGTCCCATCTCTTCTATAACCCACTCCAGGCCATAGCAGGGAGCTGCCCAAGAGCAGATGCTGGTTCTCTGCACTTCTTGTGTAGGAAGCTTGAGGAAGGGGGTTACAGAACTGAGCAGAGATAAGCTCCTTGAGTGATGCAGGTACCAGTGGGCTGATGCCCATCTCCTTCCCTCTAGGCCCTGCGGAGGCAGAGAGTGGAGGTGATCACTGAGCTGCGGAAGGCCAAGAAGGATGAGCAGATCTTGAAGCGCAGGAACATTGAACAAAATGAAATAGAGATGGAGAGGAATCTCCCTACAAGAGAAGGTGAAAGACATGAGGTGAGTGCTGGGTGCTCTGCATCCAGGCAGGATCACTGCTGCAGCTTGTGTGACTTAGACCAGGTGACCTGGGTTAAATAGCCAGTGCCATTCCTGATCTCCGTGCTGTGCTGGGAGTGTTTTACACTGCCTAACCATGTTATTTTGCATGGAGATGATGTCCTGTGTGGCTTCCCTTGATGGCAGGTAGAACAGGCTGGTGCTGCTTGGAGCTCCTGTCTGGCTCCCTGTGCAGTGAGGGGTAATTACTGAGCCCATAGACCCGTTACGGTGTGTCAGAGAGTCTTTCCCTGTGCTTGATTATAAGCATTAGTTGCCTTGAAGGCTTTTGTGGATTCTCTTCCTCTGCCTCATCTCAAAACTGCATTGCATAAAGAGTAGACATTACTTAGATATGAAGTGGTGACTGACTCGGGTCTAGACAGCTGATTGCCTCTGGAGATTAAAGTGGGGGAGCCCTGGCTTGCTTTCTGACTCTGAATCATCCCTGTGCCACAGATTGTTCTGCTCTCCTTGGAGGAAATCCTTCAAGGTGTGAATGGGAGTGACAGTGAGCTGCAGCTGCAGGCCACGCAGGCCACCAGGTATGCTGCTGGGCTGCTCTGTGCTGGGAGAGAGGTGGCTGATGGGGCTGCAGCGGGTTCCATTGGCAGAAGGTGTTTCTTCCTGCTTGAAGAGATGACAAAGGGGAAGGTGCCTGCTAACCCCAGCTGCCCTGAGGAACCTCACCTGGTGCCTGCTTTGTGTCTTGCCTGGCTCCATCACACCCCTGGGCAGCTCTTGTGATGAGGACCTGTGTGGTTGGACCCAAGCAAGGGGCTGGTTGTGGATCCTGTGCCTGTGCAGGATCACATGGGATCCCACAAGGAATCAAGTGCCAAATGCTTGGGCAGAACAAGGACCAGGGAGCCTGGCTCTGGAAGGGTCCATGCTGAGCAGGGCTGTCCCTACCCAGGAGGGTAGGAAGGATCACAGGGTGCCATTATCGCCCAGCTGGCAGCAGGGATGTCTCTGGAAGGTCCAGGAGAGGCTGCATCACTGCTGGTGCTGGCTTGAGCTGCCACATCAGCTATGAGTCCATGTGCTGTTCCCAGGGGACCAGTGCTATTCCCAGTGGCTGTGGGGATGTTCTGCTCATGGTGAGCAAATAAAAAGCTTTGCTTCCAAGCTGTTAACTGGGGAAGAGTCTGCCTTGTCCAGCCTGAAAGGGGCAAGTGACAGCTAGGTCACTTGGGAAACCTCATTTTAAACGTGAGCTCTGGCCTGTGCAGGGCTCCTGAGCCAGGGAGCAGCAAAGGCAGGCTCTAAGAGAACAAATAGCAGGTGCTGCTTTTTCCCTGTCTTAAACTCCTGCACAGCGGGAAGCATGGAATAATGTTGTCATGGTTCCAAAAGTACGTTTGAAGTATTGCACTCTGAGTGCAATGCTTCACGTCTCCTTTCCTCTAATAACCCTGCTGTTGCTTCAGCATTGTCTTAGATGTGTCTTCTGCAGAAGCCTCTCTATGGCAACTCCTCTGCTGGAGGGTTTGCTGACATGGGGTGCTGAACTAGCATCTCTTACAGGTGATGCTTCCCTTGCAAGCCACAACCTTGGTATTGGTCTATCCTGGAACCACACAGGGATTCTCAGTGCAGTGTCCTTTTCCTGCAGGAGACTGCTGTCCAGGAGGAAGGACCCCCCTGTCAGTGATATCATCAAGCTGGGGATCATCCCCAGGCTGGTTGAATTCCTCACCTATGCTGACAATACTCCTCTGCAGTTTGAAGCTGCCTGGGCACTGACTAACATTGCTGCTGGTACCTCAGAACACACCAGGGCAGTGGTGGAGGGAGGTGCCCTCCCAGCCTTCATCTCCCTCCTGTCCTCCCCACACATGCACATCAGTGAGCAGTCTGTGTGGGCTCTGGGCAACATTGCAGGTAAGGAGAGGTCTCCAGGCCTGGGTTATGGGCATGCAGAGAGTTACTGCCCAGGCAGTGCTGGGGGCCTGAAAGCATTGGTGCTCCTCAAGGTAGCCTTGTCTCCCTGCAGCTTTGTCTCCAAGCTGCTGCCCCTATTAAACCTTGCAGTCCCTGGTAGCCTTTGAGACCCTGTGTTAGTCTGCAAGAAGATTTTGGCCAAGGGCAAGTGCAAGACTCCATTCTGCTGGGCTGGTCTAAGCCACTCATGTTGTCAGTAGGGAGAACAGAATGGTTAGCCTGCCACAAACCAGCCATGAGGGCACTCCAGTCTACCTGAAAAGACTTGGTGGTGTGTGGCTAGTGAGTGAGCCTGGTCACCCAACCCTGGCCTGTGCCTGCATTGCTGTTTGTTAGCTGGCTTTTGACACGGGCAGATGCAGTAAACAACACTTTTTCATCTGCACAGGTGATGGTCCTCTGTACAGAGATGCTGTTATCAACTGCAACGCACTTCCTCCCTTGCTGGCTCTGGTGTCTCCTGCAACTCCAGTAAATAACCTGCATTTTCTTGACCTAACAGCTCTTAATCACTTAGGGAATGGGTGAATGGTGGTGATGCCTTCTAAACAACAAGCTGTTTGTATGATGGGATGGCACCCTGTCCTCAGCTGTTGTTAATGACCCCGCTTCTCAGCTATATACAAGCTATAGACACACACTGTTATAGCTTCAATGCTTTGAACATAGCCCCACTGCTCTCCTGGAGCATCCTTACTGGGATGAACTTCATCAAATTCTTGAGGTGTCCCTCTCTAGAGCAATGAGTTGCTAATACTGGTGCTAATATTAAACAGTAAATTCCTGATTGTGTCTGAAGAATGTCCTGTAATTTGTGCAAGGACCCAGCAAATAAGTTGTTTGGCACCTTTGTTATAGTAGCTTGTCACAGAGCCAGAGCTGAAGTTATTGGGACTTAATACTGGGGAAGGAGAAGGTGAATCCAGTGTCTTAGTCACTTACCTGTTTTATATCCCTTCTTCAAATGAGCCTCAGCCTTTAAGGCAGCTGCTTCTGGCTCCTGGATAACACCTCTGAGGTGCAGGGACCAGCAGCATAGTGCTACCTCTTCCTCACTTGTTCCTGCAACCAGGATCTTGCACCTCTGTGTTTCAGGTTTGGTTCCTGAGGAACATCACGTGGACACTCTCAAACTTCTGTAGGCACAGGAACCCCCCTCCCCCCCTGGATGCAGTGCAGAAGATGCTGCCAGCCCTCCTCTGCCTCCTGGAACATGAGGACAGTGAAATCGTCTCTGACTCCTGCTGGGCCACTTCCTTTCTGACTGACGGCCCCAGTGAGCGCATCCAAATGGTGGTGGATACAGGGATTCTCCCAAGGCTGGTGGAACTCATGGCCAGCCCAGAGCTGATCATTTTGGTAGGAAACAGTCGGCAATCTCCAGCCTCTGGTCCCTTAATGTAGAACATGTAAGGAGAGGGAAGGCATGTCTCTTGCTTATATGTGGCAGGTGTGGTGTGCTGTCATCACACTGCATTGATGGCTTGTTTGTCAAGCCACTGCCCTGTGCCAGCTTTCTGGATAGGAACTGTAAGGCTGCTTACAGCAAAACCAGGAGGACAATGCTCTCCTTATTTGAAGGATCAAGCACTTAGTGAGGAATCTCTCTGGACTTTCTGGCATGTATCCCTTGAGGTAAGGATTCTCCTTATCTCCCTTAATCTCTGTCTAGACTCCAGCTCTCCGTACCATTGGGAATGTGGTCACAGGAACTAACGAGCAGACCCAGGCAGCTATCGATGCTGGTGTCTTGGCTGTGCTGCCCCATCTCCTGCAACATGCAAAGCCAACCATACAGAAGGAAGCAGCGTGGATGCTCAGTAACATCGCAGCAGGGCCTTGCTGGCAGATCCAACAACTCATGGCCTATGGGTTGTTGCCTCCTCTGGTGGAGCTGCTCGATAAGGTAAGGGATGGGTGCAGTGTTGGATGTAGCTGGGGTTTGTGATGAATCACTTGTGAAGCACTTGTTCATATACCCAAGCACGTCTTTCAAAGCTGTGGAGATGCTTGGACATTTGGACTTATCCACATGCATGAAAGTATAGATCAGAGCTGCTCTTTGGCAGCTCTGCCAAGTGTTCACCCACTGCTCAAGGAGCTGGGGAAGGTGGATCGATCCAAGCTGAATGGAAGGGAAATGGTTTTCCTCACCTTGCACTGACCTTAGGGTGATGCTAAAGCTCAGGGGTGTCCTCACTGTGCTGCTCTTCCAGGGGAACTTCAGTGCTCAGAAGGAAGCTGTGTGGGCAGTGGCCAACTTCACAACAGGAGGAACTGTGGAGCAGATAGTGGAGCTTGTCCAGTCTGGGGTCCTCAAACCTCTGCTCAACCTGCTCTTGGCCAAGGACAGCAAAACCATCCTGATTATCCTGGATATCATTTCAAATCTCTTCCTGGTAAGATTCCCATCTCTTGCATTCCTCCTCCAGAAGAGCAGTGAGGTGTGAGCTGAAAGCTCATGTTGTGTGGTTAAACAGCAGCTGCTGCTCTTCCATGAATAAGGTAGACTTCAAGTTGTCCAATGTGTTCTTGGATACTCTTGGGTTGTCTAAAGACCTTGAGAAGGTGCAGTTCCCAAAGTGTTCCTCTTCACCTCTATGACTTCAGTTTCTCCTTCTGGAAAGGAGGAGGGATTTTGTGTTAATCCCCAGCTGGATGGAGGTGAAGGCCCTGCAGATATGCAACTGCAGAGGAATCAAGTGGTCGTGGGGTATTTCATCTCTGCTCCCTGCCACCTGATGTCTGTGTAATTGAAAGCCTGTTTCTTGTAGCACATTTAAACCAGGGCAGTGACTTCTGCAAATGAAGTAGTGGGTGGCAGGTAATGTCTGCTTCTTCTCCATGTGTGGATTGAGGGACTGGGTAGGGTCTGGCTAACCACCATGCAGTAATCCCAGCAGGAACTGGTGTTCCACAGATGCAGTAGTCACATCCTTGGGATCAGGCAGGGACTGTTTTCCTTCGACTTCTCTTACAGTAAAGACTATCTCAAACCTGTTACTAAGGGTGTATTTCCTTGCTTGTCTTATCTGATGTTGCAGGCAGCTGAGAAGCTGGGACAGACAGAGAGGTTGTGCCTGCTGGTGGAGAAGCTCGATGGTCTAGAGAAGTTGGAAGCCTTGCAGATCCATGACAACAAAACTGTCTGCCAAGTTGCACTGAACATCCTAGAGAAATACTTCTCTGGAGAGGTATGTGAGCTCTTGCTGTCTCTCACCTGGAAATAGGAAGCTGTTGTGCACTGAAATGAAGCACAGGCTTTAAGGATGCTGAAATGAGTTCTTGGAAGGGACCTCTGTGTGACTGGAGTAGTCCTTGCAGCTTGTTCCAATTGCTTTCAAAGGTCTCTAAAAGCTCAGAGTTGTCAGCTGATGAGTTGCACAGCAGATAGGGGTGCCTTGATAGTATCTTGCTGCTGGAATTCAAACTGGCATCAGCTGGAGCTGTTGCAGTTGCTGATGTGAATACCAAATGGGGAGAAGTTTCCTCCTTCAGAGCTGAGCTAGCTTGTCGCTACGAATGGAAGCCTCCTGCTCGGCTGATAACCATGCTCAGGTTGCATTTGGATTACTTGACCCTTCTCATGCAGACAGACTTATGGAAAAAAGAGAATAGGACACCATGGAGCAGTTGCAGGAGTCCCATGACTGCCACAGATGCTGTGTGTGCTCCTAGCCTTCCTCTTGCAGATGGGGGAAACATGAGGGAAGAGGCTTAGTACTCTGGTGGATCTTGGAGCTAAGGCTTAGGCTGGGTATGAACTGCAGCAGCAGGGAGCAAGTAGAGTCATAGAATAGTTAAGGTTGGACAGGTCCTTAAGGTCATCCAGTGTCTGTTCTGGTCCCTTGCCCAGAACAGGGTTTATGGGATGTCCCTGTGCGAGGGTGTGGAGGAAGCTCCCCTACACACAGCACCTCCCTGAGGGGCTGGATGGCAACATCTCCAAAGCAGTCCTGGCCTCTTGCTGTTCCAAGCAGGCTATTTAATTAGAGTGAGTTCTGCCACTCCAGCCACTCTTCCCTTCTGCCTTTGATGTCTGAGCCTGTGGACTTGGCTGTGTTCTGTGTGAGATGCAGGGACACTGCAGCTCCAGTGTGCTGTAACAAACAGGAGGACCGGGTCTGGTCTCCAAGGGTCCTGCTAGAGTCAAGCTGATCTCAACAGCTTGTTAGAGCAGGATATTTCTTAAAGCAAGGAAACTGATGTATGAAGGTTCAGGCAAGCTCTGGTGTAAAAAGCTTAGGTTTAAGATGCAGAGCCTTTAACTGATGGCAATCAACTTCCTCCTAGGTAGACTTAGACCTGTGTTGAGTCTGGACTCTCATAGTCCAAGGTGGACTGTATGATCCCTCAGCAGAGAAGCAGAAGTTCACCTTCTGAAGATGAAGCACTACATGGCTCTGAGCTCGTGGGTGGAGGTGTTGGGCATCGTACCTGAGAGGAGCAAAGATGCTGAGTCTTTCTGCTGTGAGACTCATCAATAAATTGCACTTCTGGCTTTGTACTTCTTGCCTTTGAGTTGGTTTTGGCTTTGTTCTCAAGTTGCTGTTGCAAACTGTGTAGACTCTTTCCATAGTGTTTTAATCTATTGGAGATCCTGGGCATGTTTTCTTTGGGGGTAGGTGCAGCCAAAAGCTTTCTGCATTAAGCTACTTGAAGAGCAGAGGGGATACCAGCACATCCAGCTGGGATCTTCTGGGCTTGACTTGGCATGGCTTAAGCTGCTCTGAAAAGCTGTTCAAGCAGTGTTCACCCTTCTGCAGGTGAAACCACCTCAATGGGAGATGGGATGCTTATAGCAGAGAAGGAAACCAGCCAGGGGCCAGGTGGGTTATGGTCACCTCTGTGTGCTGCTCCAGCCTCCATGAAGTATTGGGGGCTGGATGCTGTAGAAGTGCTTGGGCAGGGGTGGCTCTTGCAGCAGCAGCAGTTCTCCTCCCACTTCAGCTTCCCAGATGCTATCCACTAGCCTGGAGCCCAATGATCTGGCTCTGCCTGGAGCTGCCCTTTAATGTTGAGGACTCGCATTGCAGGTTGCTGATCCTTGCTGAGAGGAGACCTCCCTTTGGTCTCTAGCTGCAGGCTGAGCAGGAGGTGAGGATGGAGTTGGTGTGGTTCTTGGGGCCAGCTTGCAGCAAGCTCTGGTGCCCTGTGTCTCTTCCATGCCCCCTAGGGAAAAGGGAGCTGGTTAAAGCCCAGTTGTGTTCCATGCCCTGCAAGGCATGCACAGCCCTGCCTGTGTGTGCCAGAGCTGGGTATCACTTAGCTAATCTGAAATGCTGGAACTGATGAATCACAAAATGCTTCCTGCTTCTTTTTCCCCTTCTTGGATCCAAAATGATGCACTTAAAGCTGTGATAAAGAGATGCCTGAATATGCACCTGAACCCAGTGCCTGTGGAAATGCTTTGTGTGTGCCCCTGGGTTGACACAGAGGGCTCTGAGCATCTTCCCTTGGCTGATGCAGCATCTGGGAATGGTCAGATTTCACTAAGTAAAAGGAATCTGAGGCAGGTGCTTCCTCAGTGTAAATGGAGATGTGGACCGGAGCTGGGCTCTGTGTATCTGCCCTGCCTTTGGACCATGGTCCAGCATGGAGCATCCCATAGGGCTTTTCCAATGGATAGAGCTGACCCTGAGTTGCTGTTTGATGATGCTCTGCTAACTAAAACCAAGCTAAAAAGAGGAAGGGCAGAAGCATTTGATGCTTGTCCTGCTTTCTTGCATGTGCTGGCATAAGCCTGTAATAGAGGATGTTGTGCGGAGCCTTGGGACCAAAGCTGCTCCCATCATCATGTCCTCAAGCTGCAATAAAATAGCATCCCTGTAGCCCTGAATGCACTGGAGACAGAAACATCCCCTTTTCATAAGAGCTTTGGTGCATGGCTGATGTCTTGTGCTGCAGGGCAAGGCAGCGGAGGAGGTGGATGGGGATTGCAGCCACCTGCATCTCCCAACGGGCTGGGCTGGGGCATCCATGGGGACCAGCGAGGGGAGATGCTGCTTCCCCAGAGCAGCAAAACCTCCCTCTGGAGATGCACAAGGGAAGGAGCTTTCCTAATGAAAGCATCCCATGTCCTGGCCCCAGAGGAGCACAACAGTGGCTGCTCGGTCCCCACAGCACTGGAGAGCTGGGAAAGGTGCTGCCGGTGCCTGTGGTGGCCTGTGTGCCCCAAATCAGGTCCCGGTTAATTCATGCAGGTGAGGCAGGGTCTGTTTGAAAGCACTTTTATGCTTAATGTGCATTTCCTACCTTGCCTGTCACCCCCAGGCACCCCTGTGCACCCTCCATGCCATCCTGAATGCCACTTAGCAGGTCATCTCCCTTTACCCTCCGTGCATCTCCTATGTCACCTTCCATGTCACCCCCAGGCACCCCTATATATGCTCCATGCCATCCTCCATCTCACAGCCATGTCACCCCAATGCCACCATCCATGTCTCCCCCATATATCCTCCATGCCATAACTATGTCACCCTGATGCCACCTTCCATGTTACCCCGAGGAGCCCCTATGCCACATTCCTTGCACCCCTGTATATGCTTCATGCTACCCTCCATCCCACAGCCATCTCACCCCCATGCACTCCCATATACCCTCCATGCCATAACTATGTCACCCCCCAGGCATCCCTATGCCACCTTTCTTGCACCCCTACATATGCTCCATGTCACCCTCCATCCCACATCCATGTCACCCCCATATACCCTCCATACCATGTCACCCCACGGAACCCCTATGCCACATTCCTTGCACACCTATATATGGTCCATGACACCCTCCATCCCACAGTCGTGTCACCCCCATGCACCCCCATATACCCTCCATGCCATAACTGTGTCACCCCAATGACACCTTTCATGTCACCCCATGCACCCCCATATACCCTCCATGCTACCTTCCATGTCACCCCAATGTCACCCCTATACACCCTCCATACCATAGTTATGTCACCCCAATACACCCCCCGCATCACCCCATCCCACCTCCCCTTCCACCTCCCCGCCACTAGAGGGCGCCATCCCCTCTCACGCCTACCCACAGTTCCTACCCCTCCCGACCTTCTCAAGATGGCGTCCCCCTTGCCCTTCACAACATGGCGCCTCCCTTCGTCTTCTCCGCGCCGCGCGTTGACGTCACAGCCGTCCGCCGTGCGTGGGGCGGGGGCGTGCCCAGCGCGCTCCCCGGGCCGGGCGGTGGCGGCGGCGGCGGCGGCGGTGGTGGCGGTGTCTGAGGGGAGCGGCTGGGCCCGCATGGCGGGGGGACGAGGGGCTACCGGTTGAGACCGCTTCCTTCTCTTCTTCCTCCTCCTTCTCCTTCTTCTTCCTCTTCCCAGCGCGATGTCGAATCCCGGGACCCGCCGGAACGGTTCCAGCATCAAGATCCGCCTCACAGGTAACGGGGCGGCGATGGTGTGTGTGTATGTGGGGCCCGGTCTCCCCTCCCTTCACGCCGACAGGCCGGCCGGCCTGTCGGCGTGAAGGGAGGGGAGACCGGGCCCAAGCAGAGTGGGGCAGCGGCGTGAGGGGAGGTGTCAACCAGCTTGTCTTACCCTCTCGTTCCCCCAGGCCACAGCACCCTGTTCTTTATGGGGTCTCCTCTGCACCTTCAGTGTAGGAGGGGTTCATTGTGTCCCTCCCCTATCCCATCAAGGAAAAACGCCTTGTTCCTTCCTGGGATCTCCTCTACACCTTCCGAATGGGGATTCCTTTTGTCCCCCACTCTGTTCTAGCAAGCCAGAGCACCCTGCTCCCTCCTGGTGTCTCCTCTGCACCTTCCATGCGGGAGAACCGTGTGTCCCCCCCTATTCCAGCAAGCCAAAGCACTTTGCTCCTTCCTGGATTCTCTTCTGCATCATCCCTATAGGGAAACCTTGTGTCCCCTCTGTTCCAGCAAAGCAGAACAACCTGCCCCTTCTTGGGGTCTTTTTTGCACCATCCCTATGGGGATTCCTTGTGTCCCCCCCCTTCTAGCAAGGCAGAACACATTACTCCTTCCTGGGGTCTCCTCTGTACCTTCCACGTAGGGGAGTTCATTGTGTCCCCTCTGTTGCAGCAATGCAGGGCACTTTGCTCCTTCCTGGGGTCTCTTCTGCACCATCCCCATGGGGAAACCTTGTGTCCCCCTTACTCCAGCAAGCCAAAGCGCTTTGCTCCTTCCTGGAGTCTTTTCTGCGCCTTCCTTTTGAGGGGATTCCTTGTGCCTCCCCCCATTCCAGCACATTACTCCTTCCTGGGGTTTC